GCCAGAGGTATAGAGGCATGTTGGTGTGGTCACTAAACTGATGTTGCCCACAGAGGGGACTTACACCTACGTGGCTCGTAGTTCTGGGACTATATGGGTACGCTGAAACCCTAGTCCAACTCGGTATTATGCTACTCCCAATAGATTATGTGATTAACACATTATGACTGGATTTCTGTAAGTTACTGGATAGCTCGAACTGAACATGCAACAATTAATCTGATAATGATGCATTAATAACTGAGGCATGTATAACTGAATAACTGAGTTATCTGACCTAGCATGTGTAATTCAAGAACTAAAGAAATACATAGCTAGGGTTCTGAAATTCATGCAATAAACTGAGAAATAACATGATAATCTGATTTGGAACATGTTAATAACTAATTCATGATGATCTGCTATAATTCTAGAAACCCTATGTCTATTCATAATAAGGGAATCAAGAAACTGACTGAATAATAGGGACCTAATGGATGAAAGGAACCCACTAGTGAAATCCCACATACATGGTGATGAATTCCACGGAGAAATCCTTTGATTTCTGGGCTGGAACTGAAGAAAACCTTGCTGCATTCTTGAACTAGGGTTCTTGACTTCTCTTCTCCTCTTACACTTCTAATTTTTTCTAAGTTTTGATTAATGATTTGACTTAGGTAAGTCCTAGTTATGTTTCTAGGCTAAAACAGACTAAAACATCATGATTTAGGATCTAAACGACGTATCTTAAGGGTTAAACGAAATAGGAAAAGACCAAAAGACCCCCGACTTAACTGCTATCGGAGTGACTGACAGACGGGCCGTCATTCAATCTACGGTACGTCGATTGGGGTCGTCGGTCAAGTCTGCCCGACAGGGCTTCACCAAAACGAGCATAACTTTTCACTCGGAGGTCGGATTTTAGCAAAGTCAGCGGTGTTGGAAAGAGGATTTGATTATCTATCATATCATAGGTCATTGGGACACATAATTCATTATATAAGTTATAACCATCTGAAGTTGACTCAATCACAATTTTCATCTAATTGACTGCTGACGCTCACTTACGATCATACCTACGGACCGTGCATCGAATGACGGTCCATGCTGGTCAATCGTCAATCAGGACTGAAGCTGAGCTTTAGGAGCACCGATTCACGGACACGAACCGCGGTCCATAACCTGACCTACGGACCGTAGGTCCGGCCTTGGGTCAACACTTAGCCGAATTTCTGGCTGAGTTCTGAGGGAGTTTGCTGACACAAACCACGAACCTGCAGGATGGACCGTGGGTCCTCTTACGGTCCATGGATGGTGCCCGTGAGTGCCACCTGCAACACCAGAAATCTTCAATCTGGTCTATTTTTGGATATGGGGTGTTACATTATCTCCCCCTTGGGACCATTCATGCTCGAATAAAGTCTAAACTAGATGAAATGGAGGGACAGGGATGCAATCCCTACCACTAAACACTGAAAACTGAATTTCTGACTAAACTGAGTTCCAAGAACATGCAAATACGCTAAAAATGCAAGTACAACTTAAGGAACATGATTCTAAGACTGAATTTTATGCATGAATGACTGAAAAACTGAAGAGGAACTATTACCTCAAGATGGAATGGAATCGGAAGGAAAGAGGTGAGGATACTTAGACTTCATGGCTGCTTCTGCTTCCCAAGTAGCTCCCTCTACTGACTGACTCCTCCACAAAACCTTGACTGAAGCGACTTCATTGTTTCTTAACCTTCTAACTTGACGATCGAGAATCTCAACGGGTACATCTTCATAAGAAAGGTTATCTTTTACATCCACAGTATCTAATGGCACTATGGATGCTGGATCACCCACACACTTCTTCAAAAGTGAAATGTGAAAGATTGGATGCACTGCTGCCAAATCTGCTGGCAACTCTAACTCATAAGCCACTCTACCAATCCTTTTCAAGATTCGGTAAGGTACTACATAACTGGGACTAAGCTTCCCTTTCTTGCCAAATCTCATCACCCTTTTCATAGGTGACACTTTCAGGAAAACCCAATCATCGACTTGGAACTCTAGTTCCCTTCTTCTCACATCTGCATAAGATTTCTGGCGACTCTGGGCAGCCTTAAGTCTATCTCTAATGAGTTGCACTTTCTCCATAGCATCAAGGACTGAATCTGGTCCTATCAAGGCTGCTTCACCTACTTCAAACCAACCAACTGGAGATCTACATCTACGCCTATACAATGCCTCATAAGGGGCCATCTGAATGCTGGAATGGTAACTATTGTTGTAGGCAAACTCAATAAGAGGAATGGTAACTATGCTCTCAACATGTCCTCTAAGGTCTGAATGGTACGCTCTGCCTGACCATCCGTCTGTGGATAAAATGCTACGCTAAGGTTAACCTGAGTACCAAGACCCTTCTGAAATGACTTCCAGAAATGAGAGGTAAACTGAGGACCTCTATCTGAGATGATAGACAAAGGAACCCCATGCAACCTCACAATCTCATTAATGTAAAGCTTGGCGTAATCCTCCACCGAATCTGCAGTCTTGACCACCAAAAATTGAAAAGACTTAGTAACCCTATCAACAATCACTCAAATGGAGTCATGTTGTCTGCGAGTACGAGGTAAACCTGTGATGAAGTCCATGTTGATCACTTCCCACTTCCAAGTAGGAATGTCAATCTCTTGAGTCATACCTCCTGGTTTCTGATGTTCTACCTTGACTTGCTGGCAATTAGGGCACTTAGCCACAAAGTCCGCTATATCTCTTTTCATACCATTCCACCAATAGACTTCCCGCAGATCGCGGTACATCTTAGTGGCGCCTGGATGAATAGAGTATCTAGAATTATGGGCTTCTGTGAGAATATGATGTCTCAATTCACCCACATCAGGAACACACAATCTACCTTGATAGCGAAGTACACCATCTCCCCCTTGGGAGAAAACCTCTACTCTCTGATTGTGGACTGCACCCTTAAGCTCAAGCAAGATTATATGGATAATCTGCTAAGATCATCTGCTACGACATCCGCCTTACCCGGATGGTAATGCACGCTCATATCATAATCTTTGAGGAACTCAAGTCACCTTCTCTGGTGAAGATTCAACTCTTTCTGGGTGAATACATTGTGGAGGCTGTTATGGTCTGTGAACACATCTACATGAACACCATACAAGTAGTGCCTCCAAATCTTGAGTGCAAACACCACTGCTGCAAGCTCGAGGTCATGAGTTGGATAATTCTTCTCATGTACCTTAAGCTGTCTAGAAGCATAAGCTATAACCTTACCTCGCTGCATCAACACACAACCTAGGCAGACTCTGGATACATCACAATAGATCACATAACCATCTGAACCCTCTGGTAGAGTCAAGACAGGAGCTGTAGTCAACCTAGTTTCAATTCTGTGAAGCTTTTTTCACAATCATCTGACCACTGAAACTTAACCTTTTTCTGAGTCAACCTAGTCAATGGTGAGGCTATGGATGAAAATCCTTCCAAGAATCGTCTGTAATTGCCCGCTAGACCTAAGAAACTTCTGATATATATAACAGAGGTAGGTCTGGACCATTGTTTCACTGCTTCTATCTTCTGGGAATCTACTCGAATTCCTTCACTAGTCACAATATGCCCAAGGAAGGCAACTGATTGTAACCAAAACTCGCACTTGTTAAATTTTGCAAATAACTGGCGATCTTTGAGAGTTTGCAGAACAACTCTAAATGACTTGCATGTTTTTCCTCATTCCTAGAGTAAATGAGGATATCATCAATAAAGACGATAACGAACAAGTCCAAGTACTGCTTGAACACTCTGTTCATCAAATCCAAGAAAGCTGCAGGAGCATTGGTTAGTCCAAATGACATAACTACAAATTCGTAATGACCATACCGAGTTCTGAAGGCTGTCTTCGGAATGTCACTATCTCTGACTCTAAGCTGATGATAACCTGATCTGAGGTCTATTTTTGAGAAATGACTAGCACCCTGAAGTTGGTCAAACAAGTCATCAATCCTGGGGATGGGATACTTATTCTTGATTGTGACTTTGTTCAACTGCCTATAGTCAATGCACATTCTGAGAGAACCATCTTTCTACTTTACGAAAAACACTGGTGCACCCCATGACGAAATACTACGTCTGATGAAGCCCTTATCTAGAAGGTCTTTCAACTGCTCTTTCAATTCCTTAAGCTCAGCTGGAGCCATTCTATAACAATCCTAGTTCTACAATCGACTGAGGCATAGCAA